TGGCCTCTAAGGCTGGGAGCCAAGAAGAGGGCACAGTCCCACAGTCCCCTGCAGAGGCACCTCCCAGGGACCCCAGACCCCCCTAAGCCAACCCTCGGGTTCCACCCCTCCCACCAGCACTACCCTGGGACCAACCTGTGCACACGTGGCCTTTGGGGGATGTTTGTGACACAAACAGCCTTTGCACTCTCAACCCATAGGGCCACACTTTTCCCTGGTGAACTGCATGGACCGAGAGCTCCATACCCAGGTAGCAACACAGGCCTGCCCCATGCTCTCGGCCGCCCTGGAGCCCGGCTCTCCCCGGAGTACATGTCTGTCTCCACTCAAGCTGGCTGGGCTTCCTGTAGCGGGGGAGACGTCCATGTGCGGATGGGGACAGTGGAGCAGCATCCCCTCTCAGGCTCTGCCAACCTCCTCCTTCCCAGCGTTCTGGGAATGCGTATGCTTCCCTGGAGCAGGTGTGACCGGTGCTCAGATGAGCAGGAGGAGCCCAGCGATCCTCAGGCGGCATCTGTGATGTGGTAGGGGGCGAGAGAAGGAGGTAAGGCCTGCCATGTAGGTGTTTCACACCTTTGTCCCTAAGATGTCAGACGGAGACTGAAATAAGAACTGCCCCTGGGAGGCACAGCTCTGACCTGCAGCAGGTCACCCAGAGCCTGGGGCCAGGCCACGTGGGTGTGGATGGCCCACCACACTGGGCCCACGCAGCCAGCTGCAGACACAGGCACTGGGCGCCGTGGGCTCTCTGCAGGCCCTGGCCGACTGACTCCTGAAACACCCATTATGCCCGTGATTGCGGAGCCACTAGCAAATTGCTAATTACAATCAACCAAGTCTTTGGTTTAAGCAGCTCATCACAATGCAGACTGACCCTTGAGAGGTGGCCACAGGTACGTGGGGAGTGCTGGTGAGGGCGAAAGCAGCAGACGGGCATGGAGCCTCCTGTCCACCAGACAGCCCAGTTTCTGTGTGAGGAGGAGCTGAGGCCCAGAGCCGTGTCCCTGTGGAAGCCTTTCCCTGTGACCACAGCAAGTCCTGACTGCAGGAGAACCGGTAGAAAGTGAAGTCCAGCCCCAATCCCAGCTCTGGGGAAGATGCTCAGGCCCCAGAGAAGGCACAGGGTCAGCAGGAGAGATAAGCTGGACAGAGCTGTCCAGGTCAGGAAGCCACACGGTGTACAGAAACAGCTCAGCACAGCAGGGGCGGCCAGGAACCCAGGAGAGGGGAAGTGGAGGGACAGAAGCCCGGACACTTCCCCGAGCTCCGTGCAGGAGAAAGAGCCTGGACAGTGCAAAGGGGATCTTGGCGGCAGGAGCAGTCCAGCGGCATTGGACTAAGAAGAGGTCGAAGCTGCGGGACCACCAAGAGCCCACACGCTGGCAGGGCAGAAGGCTTGAGAGAATCCAGGTGAAGGCAGAGGAGGAAAAGTGGCCAGAGGAAAACCGTGCAGGCCAGGAAGCCCCCAGTGCCCCCTGGGCTGTGCAGAGACCTGCAGACACCCTGCGGAGAGACTCCATCCACAGCCCCTGGCCAGCACTACAGAAGTGCCCGTGGGCGGGGCTAGCTCCCAGGGAACCGTCAGTGGGCGGGGCCAGGGGCCCAGGAAGCATCTGTGGGCGGGGCCAGCAACAGGGAAGCCCTGTGGGGGGCTCAGGAAGCCTCAGGAAGTGTCCTGGGGATGGAGACCCTAAGACAGAGCCTGCAGTGCTCGGATCTCATGACCAACGCGTTCTTGAGGATGAGAAATCACGTGTGACCACAGACAGGGAGAGCAAACGGAGGAAGAGCCTGTGCTGAAGTGTGGAGCCGGCTTGCCCGGCCCTCCCCGGGGCTGACAGCAGGGCCTCACCTCCAGCCACCTGGCCACTCCAGTCCAGGGGGTGCCCGAAGGCCATCAGGCCAAGCCATGGTCAGGACCAGGTGCCCTGCGAACATGAAGGAGAGTCGGGATTTCACTGCCCAGGAACAGAGAGCCCAGGTGAAAGGCACCTGCTGCAGGGAACGCACTGGGAGTGCACTCAGGACCCCAGCTCCCCTGCAGAAGGCCGTGGACAGGTCGTCCCTGCTGACGTCAAGATGGCAGAAGGCTGGAGACAGCCCGTGGACGCTGTCTGTGGCACATGTCCTCCTCAGTGAGAGCTCGCTGCCTTCTGAGGTGTCAGACTTGTGAGCACGAGTGTGGGGTTTGAGGCCAGCCCAGCCGCATCCACCCGTGCTCAGGGTCAGTCGGATGGCACAGCCTGAGCTGCCCATGGGAACGAGAGAAGGGTCAGCTGGTGGTGTCTAGCGCACTTGGACTCCAGGGCAGCCGTGCTGTGTGTTAGAGAAGCCTGGCTGGCGCTGTCTCTGCCCTGTGGCTGCTGGGCTGAACCTCACAGAGGCAGTCTCAGCAGACTCTGTGTGGGGAAAGGCTGGAGTACAAGACTGAAGGTCTGAGTGGACCAGGTCTGAGGGCAGCCCCAGCTGGGGCGAGGGGAACGAGGTCTCCCAGGTCCTTCTGCAGTCTAACCAGTGGCCGCCAGGCTGCCTCACCAGGTCACAGAAGGGCACTACACCATTCCCCAGGCCAGGCGGCCCTGGACACAGATGGGTGGGTGTGCAGCTGTGGTAAACAAGATCCCACCCCAGGCCTCGAGGAGAGGCAGGAGAGGCACAGGGTGGGGACCACACCCCCCCAGGAAGCTCTGTGCTTGGGACTCTGGGGACCTAGCTGGGAGGCACATCTCTTCCCTCCTGGAGAAGGGAGTGGTCCCACACTAGCACTGGGGAGCAGTGGTCAGCCAGGGCAGCAGCTGGGCCGCTCACAGGAGGGTGGCTCTGGGCAGGGACCCTGGTCTTTCTGAGCACCCTTCAGGACACCAAGCCCAGTGGCTGGGGAAGATCAGAGAGCAGGGCCCTTGGCTGATCTCTAGACATGCATCCGGGTGTTCAGAGGCTGGGTGCGTGGCTCCGGGTCCAGGGTCCACCACGGTGGACTCATCAGCATGACTCCCGATGGCCTCAGAGCCCTGGGAAGGCAGCTTCCTGGCTGGCCAGGACCTGCTGAGCCTGGAGCCTGCAGAGGAGCTCTTGGGCTGCCTGGACCTGGGGCTTCAGAGCCCACTGAAAGAACCTGGCCTCCCCTGTGGTGCCCGAAAGGGCCTCCCAAAGTCCCGCCAGCCCAGGTCCCCCAGCTGCAGCAGAGCAGAGGAAGGCAGCCGCAGGGAGGGGTGCTCGTGGCCTGCCGCAAGCCTGACCTCATATGTCCAGGTCGGGGGAAGGCCCTGCAGAGGCCTGGAGGCTCTCTGGGCATCTGCTTGGGGCTACCTGAAAGGCCAACCCCTCTGAATGCTTTCCTGTGTGAGGCCCTGGAGCCCCAAGAGCCAATCCCAGGCAGGGCCTGAGGATTCCAGGGAGCCAGCCCTCCTGGTTCCTGGCAGCAG